CGACTTCAGTTGGATTAGGCAGATTGTGACTGAGACAGTTAACGTACCATTGAGTCAAAATGGTGCCACTGTGCAATATCACATATACATATACTGTAATATTTTGAAATTATATTAATCTTCAAAGCCACAAATATATTTCTCACATAATAGCGTACCAGTACAATATTATACTATTGTATTATTATATTTATTGTTACTTTATACTATGCAATATGTATTATATGTATTATATTATTGATATGACTGAATATAACTCCAATGGCATCGTTTCTCTCAAAATGTCATCAGAAGTCTTGACGAAACTAGGTCAAGGCATGCTGAATTGTTATCTTTATTTCAATCTCAAGATGCTTTGGACAAGAAACTAACTTAACAGGAGATAGTCTTTTTACAACCACAAATGTTCTAAAATATAAGAAATGTTAAACACCTTAGAGTAACTATATAGCATCATTTGCGCAAAATATTCACCATGTGTGCGAACATATTAATTTGTACTTCACAATATGCCTGAATTATTTGCCTTGCGTCTGTTAGTTGTACTTTAGCCAGGGGAACAATTCTAGCCATGTAAATTGTATAAACAGTTTCTTCCTTCAGTATTCTTTCCATTTTACGAGGTTTTGTCAATGAAAATAAGATGTGGCACGAATCTTCAAAACGGGGTCAATCAAAACACTAGGTTCGCAGATGCGTGAAAACCCGCGGTCAATGTTTACGGATAAAATTCACTGATTTTCTTTCACTCTGTGGATCTGTTTCTTTGTTGGGAAATGGATGCATGGGTATTCCTTCAGGCTGTTCAGAGTTCGTGCAATAATCTAAGTTAGAACTGCCAGAAACACGGCCTTCGTCTCCACGTTTGTTGGTTTTACTATAATTTTAATACGCCATGATGAAATCGTGTTCATCTTATGACGTCACCAGGCATCAACATGGCCGATAAAAAGTTCGCACAGGAAGTGCCAAAAATGGCCACTTTGGAAGGCTATAAAATCGGTTTGAATTGACCAATTTCAATTCTGTTTGTGGTAAACAGGTCAGGAAGGAAAGTGCTTTTAATTAAACTAAAAAAATGAGGGTCGAAAAATTCGCTGCAGTAGCACTTTTAAAGAAACTACAAAACTACGAAAATATATGACCTGACAGGCCATCTATACAATATTAAATAGCTAGTAAGTAACCGTAGATGTCGTTTGTTAAATTTCAGCCTGTATATTGTTGTACTTCAGCTAAATTGATTTTACTGTAATTATATACACAACTCATTCCATGAATAAGTGCGCAAATACACGTAAATTATGGTAAATGAATATATCCCATCTGTCAAAAGGTTTAAGAGAATCCCTTCATCCCAGACGACGCAGTCATTCCGCGGCCTTTTACTTTCACCGTAGACAGTCAGATAGACATTAATGCAGCCCTTTTGTTATTTTACTCTGTCTCAAACCAGATCATTTCACAAATCAAAGGGTATCTCTAAGTCAAAATATACACGAATCATCTTATAATACATACAAATTTTAATTTTGTTAAGATCGAAATCATTGCTATCGTTTGTCTACCCAATAGTAAAGTGAAAATAATATCTTTAAACTCTTCAAGCAGTGCAAATTTCAATACTGCACGAAAATATCGTCGTAATAGACTCTAAGGTTGGTTTTTCACAAGGCGAATTTGTTCGAACAAAGGAACTTTTTCCTTTGTCGGCATCGCCTATATCACGTCAGCAAAAGAGAGACGACGAACAAGAAAAGTCCCTTCGCGCGAACAAATTCGTCTAATGGAAAACTGGTTTTAGTCTTTAGAGTCTAACGACGATATTTTCGCGCAGTTTGGAAATTTGCGCTCCTCAAAGAGAAGAACCAGACATTCACTTAGAGCGCGCGAAATAAATTGCATGACTGAGTAGTTAAGACAGGGCAAAAGATGAGTATCACGCGAATTTAAAAACAATGAAGTTATTAATTTTTGAAATCTAATTAGAATATATACAATAGTCAATACACAATCAGCGTAGTTTGGCATAAAAAGATAAATCAGTATTTATATTCTACAACACGCACAAATTTTGCTAGGCAGTCATTCCACTTCATGCATTTCTAAAAGTTCCTATAAGATAAATCACTTTACTGTGTTTGTACTTGTAGACAGCATATTATGATTACGGTTTATCAATAAAAATAGATTGTTAATATATACACAACACATAGTTAACATACAACTGCAGTAGCTCTGAACCTCTTTTCATGCATTTCCGGAAGTTCTTGCCACCTATAACTATCAAATCTAAAACGTTCTACTGATTTTAAATAATTTCCTTCTTCATCTTTGCCTCCCATGACAATCACAGTGTCTCTGACAACTGCAGCCACACATCCTTTCCTCTTACACTTCATGTCTGGTAACATATGACTCTTCTGGGTCTTGATGTTGTACATTAAAACTTTGTTTAATGGTTTATCATTACTGTCAGCACCGCCCATTATCATAACATTGTCATCACCCCACTTGACTGTGGCTATTTCATACACGAAGTAAGGGAGGGGTGCTAACTCCTGACATTCCTTCTTAGTAATGTCATACATGACAACATTTCTGAGAGCTGAGTTACTCTTCAAGCTTGTTCTCCCTGCAACAATCAAGATCTTATCGCCAAAGATTGCAATACCATGATAACATCTTTCCTGTGGCATGGTAGCCAACAGTTCACAGGTGTAAGGTGGAAAAAGGGAAATCTCAGTAATACTATCAGAATATACATGTTTTTCAACATCAAAACCTCCAATCACTATCAATCGTTCATTATAAACCACACTGCAGTGTCCTGCCAACCGTCCAGGTAACTCAGCAGGAACATTTTCCCAAGGTATAGACTGGAAAGCTTGAGCAGCATTCAATGATAATTTTTCCATGGATTTATTAAAACCTCCCTCGACAAATAACTGATTGTTGTGAATAACGGAAGTTGCTCCTTCACGATTACCTCTCATTGGTTGTAGTAGTGTCCATGTCTCGGTTGACAGAATCAACATTTCCACAGAATTTAATCTTCCTTGATTCTCACCTCCAGCAATAACAACTTTTGGCTCTCTGTCCATTCCATCAGCTTCTGCAATTCCTTTCTTCATTTCTTCAGCCTGAACATCATGCAATGTTTGTTGTGACATTCTCTCCAGTTGTTTTGAAATTTCATTTAAACTTTTCTTTACTTCTGCCTCAAACTGACGATTGCTTTCTTCCTGCTTGTTCAGTCGTTCTTGAACTAGTTCAACTTTTGCTACCACGTTTTCCACAGCTTTTCCATTCGTCTCAATTCTCTCTAACAGCTTTTCATTCATTGCTGCCAAATTAACTCTCACTGTATCCATCTCTTTCTTGATGTCGTTGCAGCTGTGACACTGAACTCTACGTTGTTCACACACAGCAGTTTCATGATGAAGTAAATCTTGTTTATTTACTTCAAGTTCACATCCCTCATTAGAGCAGACTGCTGGAGCAAAACCGCATTCTGTAACATGCCTTTCAAGATCTCCCAGCTCAATAAACTTTCCACAACCACGATCGAAGAATTCACATCGAATTTTCAATTCAGCTAGAAAGTTTCTTATACCCCGAGGTGCTTGGCTTAGTGTCTCAACAGTGAGTGGTTCCATGCATGTCGGGCATGTCTGAAAGTTCACGAGATGTCTGGTGATACAAGCTCGGCAGAATAAATGTTCATTATGACACATGGCTGCATCTTTAATGACATTGGTGCAAATACAACAAAGAAAACTAGGACCAACAGGATATTGAAATAGTTCATCTTCATAGCCAGTGTCGTATACAGCCAATTTCGAGGCCATTTCAATTCAAAAGCAGTTCAGTAATTACAATTATACCAGTTAATAGCGTTCTCAGAATTCTACTTTCAATGCGTTAATATTGTAAATGTCCACTAATAAACCAAGCCAAGAAATCAACAGTCAACTCCTTTTTCATGACACAAACGACAGTTTTTTTATTTAACTTTCTACATCGTTATTCAACAGCAGTTCTGCATCAATATAAACTATTATTAATTGCCACGTCAGTCTATAAGCTACCTTGCCTCTTGATTTGAACGTTTGTAACTTTGAGTTTATAAACACGGAAGTAAATCCTGCACTTACTTCACTTTAAATATTATCGGGATGTGGTAAATTGACGTCGACCTGAGCGACCAAATGAGCCTTTTTGGAGGGCCCTCTAATTTGATAGACAGTGTCTGTGTTCAGTTTGCTTTGAATTCGTGAATATTAAATTTCATTGATATCGTGACATTGCACAATCTTTAAATTGCTACATACAGGAAGTGACTCGTAATATTTAAATATAAAAACAATCAATTTTATATATTTGAAACACTGTTCTTGAAACAATGCTTTGTATAAGTTATTTATGTATCAGTCTTGCGTACAGGAAAGCACAATACAACATTTTAATTTAGTGTACAAGTATATATTATTCTGTCTCAGCTCATCAGCTTATATTCCGGAATATTAAATTTCATTGAAATTGCGACATAGCTAAGCCTGGAGAGCAGGCTCTCACAGGCAGGGTTCCTGCTTTGCAGGCAAAATCTTGCAAAAACATGACATATGAATATAAACTGATAGTGATTGTAATATTGTATAGTCTGACAGAGTGCCAGTGCTCTCCCCTTGACGAGTAAAATCCTCTGGTGTTAGACAGAGTAAAATTGTCTGGCATTAGACAGAGTAAGATAGTAAAGTGGAGCACAATGCAATTTATTAATCCTGACAAAATTACCTATACTTTCTGCAAGTAATTTGAAAGTATAAACTCTTCTTCTAGTATCGATATTTGGTATCAGCCCCCATCCCTATATTAGTGACTCTTATTCCACAATCAAAAACAAATGGGGCAGGGTAACAGGCCTTAAAATATCGAT